GCAGGTGCCTGCACATCCCCGAGCTGGAGCAGGCCGAGAGCTTTGCGGCAGAGCAGGGCCGGACGCTGCGGCTGCTGCAGGCCGTGTGCCAGTGCGTGGCCGCACATTCGGAGCTGCTCTGCTACTTCATCATCATCCTCAACCACATGGTCACCGCCTCGGCTGCCTCCCTGGTGCTGCCCGTGCTCATCTTCCTGTGGGCCATGCTGTCCATCCCCAGGCCCAGCAAGCGCTTCTGGATGACAGCCATCATCTTCACGGAGGTGGGCTGCAGCCAGTGGGGCCAGGGAGGGGGCAGCCTGGCCCCGTGCTGACCCCCTCTTCTGCAGGTCACGGTGGTCACCAAGTACCTGTTCCAGTTTGGCTTCTTCCCCTGGAACAGCCACATGGTGCTGAGGCGCTACGAGAACAAGCCCTACTTCCCCCCGCGCATCCTGGGCCTGGAGAAGACGGACAGCTACACCAAGTGCGACCTGCTGCAGCTCATGGTGCTCTTCTTCCACCGCTCCCAGCTGCTGGTGAGCACGCACCCAGCACCCCGGGGCTCGCGGGCTAGACAGTGGGCAGCCCAGGGTGGGCCTGGCCATCTTGCCTGGTCCCAGCATGTTTCAGCTGGTGTCCTCACTGTCCCTCCTGGCCCTCCACACAGTGCTACGGCCTCTGGGACCATGAAGAGGACCAGTTCTCCAAGGAGCAGAGCAGGAGCAGTGGGAAGGATCAGGGGGCTGAGGCGGGGCCAGAGGTCCTACTGGGAGCCCAGGCAGAGGCAGGCGCCAAGCACCAGGCAGAGCTGGGGGTGGCAGGAGCCACGACCAAGGACGACATCCAGGTAGAAGCGAGGGCTGTTCCTGAGGATGGGGCTCCAGAGCCCCAGGTGGACTTCAGGCCTCAGGACACAAGACGAATCAGCCTGCGTTTCAGGAGGAGGAAGGAGAGGCCTGGACCCGCAGGAGCGGCAGCCATGGGTGAGAGAGCTCTGACCACAGCTCAGTCCCACTGGTTCTCACAGGCAGTGCTGGCTCTCGGCTGTTTCAGGGGAGGTAGAGGAGGCCGGACGGCCCATCCCATCCCTTGGAGGTGCCAGGCCCAGCAGGGGACCAGCTGGATTCCAGGACAGGACAGCACTTGGCTGTGGGTTCTGGCTCTTCCAGGGGAACAGAGAGGTACACTGCTGTCTACAGGGCCAGCAGCAGAGCATGTGCCCTGGCTGGCCTCAGCTGCCCCTTGACAGGGCCAGGAAGAGGCCCCTGTGCTGTCTGCTTCTCTGTGAAGTGGCCAGAAGCCAGGCCCAGTCCCCCGTGGGCTCAGCCGCCACACTTCTCGCCCACAGAAGCTGTGGATGGGGAAGAGGAGGAAGAGGCGGCGGGAAAGAAGGGGCCGAGCCGTTCTCAAGAACGGATGAAGGCAGCCGCACGCTGGCTGCAGAGCTTCTGCCTGTCCCTGTGAGTGGCCGGCCCTTCTTTCCACATGGCAGGGAGGGGGTCCCTATGGCCAGGCACCCAGCTGAGCCCCCTCCCACAGGGCACAGAGCATATACCAGCCCCTGCAGCGCTTCTTCCATGACATCCTGCACACCAAGTACCGGGCGGCCACAGACGTCTATGTCCTCATGTTCCTGGCGGACGTTGTGGACTTCATCATCATCATCTTTGGCTTCTGGGCCTTTGGGGTGAGCAGGGCTGGCTGCCCGGGTGGGTGCAGCCCCGCCGCTACCAGCGGCCCAACTCCAGCTCCCCTCCTCTGCCTTTTGGCTACAGAAGCACTCGGCCGCCACAGACATCACGTCCTCCCTGTCAGATGACCAGGTGCCCGAGGCCTTCCTGGTCATGCTGCTGATCCACTTCAGCACCATGGTGGTGGACCGTGCCCTCTACCTGCGCAAGACCGTGCTGGGCAAGCTGGCTTTCCAGGTGGTGCTGGTGCTCGCCATACACCTCTGGATGTTCTTCATCCTGCCAGCCGTCACCGAGAGGTGGGGTCTCCATCCCGGGGTGGGCACGACGCAGGGCAGGGCCTGGTCAGCCTCCGTCTCTTGACGGTCCCTGCCACCCTGTCCCAGGATGTTCAGCCAGAATGCTGTGGCCCAGCTGTGGTACTTCGTGAAGTGCATCTACTTTGCCCTGTCCGCCTACCAGATCCGCTGCGGCTACCCCACCCGCATCCTGGGCAACTTCCTCACCAAGAAGTACAACCACCTGAACCTCTTCCTGTTTCAGGGGTGAGTGGTCTGCCCAGGGGTCACTGAGAGCAAGGGGCAGCTGGGCTAGGTAGCCTGTCAGAGCTAGCATGGGAGACCCTCCTGACGGGATCCTGACCTGGCAGGTTCCGGCTGGTGCCATTCCTGGTGGAGCTACGGGCAGTCATGGACTGGGTGTGGACAGACACCACCCTGTCCCTGTCAAATTGGATGTGTGTGGAGGACATTTACGCCAACATCTTCATCATCAAGTGTAGTCGAGAGACAGAGAAGGTAGGACCAGGCCTGGGGGAGGGACAGCAGGGTACTGCTTCCCCAGAGGCTCTGCCTGTGTGGACAGGAGCCAGAAGGCAACCACAGGTCAAAGGAAGGGTTCTCCGAAACCCTCTGGAGCCCAGGCATGGTAGCAAGTGCCTATAATCCCAGCAACTCGGGAGGCTGAGGCAGGAGGATCCCAAGTTTGAGACTGCAGCAAGAACTGTCTCAAAGTAAAACAGGCTGGGGATGTGCTCAGGGAAGTGAGCTGCCGTTGCTCTGTGTATATTCTGGTCCTCTCCAGACAGCTAGTTTGGGGACATGCTCCCAGGCTGGTGTCTTTTGAAGCACAAGTTTACTTTCTTCCCTTCGTGGCTCCTGTCTTGTTAACCTGAGAGGTCATGAAGATGATGCCTTGAGGCTCATGCGCCGGGGCCTGGCTGCAGGGGGGCTGCCTGCAGGCTGGGCCAAGCCAGCGCATTCCTTGGGGATGCTCCCACTGGACACCTGGCCTGTCTAGGTCCAGCTGCGTGTCTGTGCCCACTCTGCCCCAGGCTGGCCACCGTAGCTTTGTGCTGACCCCAGCTGGAGGCTAGAGACCATGGCCCTGAGGGGCTGGGTGACCTGTGTCTTGCCCCAGAAATACCCCCAGCCCAAGGGGCAGAGGAAGAAGAAGATCGTCAAGTACGGCATGGGCGGCCTCATCATCGTCTTCCTCATCGCCATCATCTGGTTCCCACTGCTCTTCATGTCACTGGTGCGCTCCGTGGTCGGCGTTGTCAACCAGCCCATCGATGTCACCGTCACTCTCAAGCTGGGCGGCTATGAGGTGAGCTGCCCTGGAAAGCAGGGCAGAGGCCCCTCCGCTCCCCGATGTCTCACGGAGCGCCACCCCCAGCCTGTCCGTGACCACCAGGTTCCCCATCACCCACCCTGGTGCCCACCAGCTGCCCTGTCCCCCGCCAGCCCCTGTTCACCATGAGTGCCCAGCAGCCGTCCATCGTGCCCTTTACACCTGAAGCTTATGAGGAACTGTCCCGGCAGTTTGACACCCACCCGGTGAGTGGCCCCCAGGCTGTGTCCATGTGGTGAGGGGATGGCCTGGTGGGTGTGGGGGTGGCCACCCCCACTGAAGCATGCCATGCCACAGCTGGCCATGCAGTTCATTAGCCAGTATAGTCCCGAGGACATCGTCACAGCTCACATCGAGGGCAGCTCTGGGGCCCTGTGGCGCATCAGCCCCCCAAGTCGGGCTCAAATGAAGCGAGAACTGTACAACGGCACTGCCGACATCACCCTGCGCTTTACTTGGAACTTCCAGAGGTGGGTGCCGTGCCCCGGGGACTGGGTGGGTGCTCCCTGCAGGGGCTCATGCTTGTCCACCTCCAGGGACCTGGCCAAGGGCGGCAAGGTGGAGTACACCAATGAGAAGCACACCCTGGAGTTGGCCCCTGACAGCTCGGCACGGCGGCAGCTGGCCCGCCTGCTGGAGGGCACTTCCGACCAGTCCGTGTGAGTGGGGGTCCTGGTGGGGTGGGCAGGGGTTGGGGGAGCCCTGGGCCTGACCCAGCCCATGTGCTCTCCCCATAGGGTCATCCCCCACCTCTTCCCCAAGTACATCCGCGCCCCCAACGGGCCTGAAGCCAACCCCGTGAAGCAGCTGCAGCCCAGTGAGTGTGGGCAACTAGGGGCCGGGACCACCTGCGCTCTGGGCGGGGGGAGGGGAGGCTCCTAGTTCCAACCATCCCCCCCTGGCTCTGACCCAGACGAGGAAGCCGACTACCTAGGTGTGCGCATCCAGCTGCGGAGGGAGCAGGTGGGGACGGGGGCTGCCGGCTTCCTGGAGTGGTGGGTGGTGGAGCTGCAGGACTGCCACATGGACTGCAACCTGCTGCCCATGGTGATCTTCAGCGACAAGGTCAGCCCCCCCAGCCTCGGCTTCCTGGCCGGCTACGGGTGAGTGAGGGGCCTGGGGACACCCCACAAGGCTGGTGGGGGGCTCTGGCAGCAGCCGCCCAGCCTCACTGGTCGCCCTGCAGGATCGTGGGGCTGTACGTGTCCATCGTGCTCGTCATCGGCAAGTTCGTGAGGGGCTTCTTCAGCGAGGCCTCCCACTCCATCATGTTCGAGGAGCTGCCCTTTGTGGACCGCATCCTCAAGCTGTGCCAAGACATCTTCCTGGTGCGCGAGACCCGTGAACTGGAGCTGGAGGAGGAGCTGTACGCCAAGCTCATCTTCCTGTACCGCTCCCCAGAGACCATGATCAAGTGGACGCGCGAGAAGGAGTAGGAGCCTGCCTCCTGGCACCGGGAATGAAGGCACCGCCCCACGGGCAGCAGGGCCACCAGGGCTGGTGGTGCTCCTTGGGCCAGGGGCACAGCTGTCCCCAGTCAGGGCCATGAGCTGTGACATGTCCTCCCTGGCCCACCTGAGCCCTGATGCTGCTGTCAGAAGGATGCTATGTCCCCACCTGTTGCCCCTGTGGGCCCAGGACTGGCCACACCGAGCCTGGGGGCCTGGCCCTCCCTTCCCAATGCGTACTGTAGAGTTTTCTAATTAAAAACATTTTTATTTATACACATGGACAGTCACAGGCCAGTCCCTGCATTCTCGCCTCCCTGCTCCTGTGTGGTCAGCCTTGCTCCCGGGGGCTGGGCGAGCGCATCTTCTGCCTCAGAGTCACTGTCCTCGATCAGGTACTCCTGGACCTCCGGCATGACCCAATCCCTGGGGAAGTGTGCAGTGGGAACCCACCCTGAAGGGCTCCCACCCACCAGGAGTCTTCCAGCAGAGGGGGCACCAGTACCTCTGGCTGCGGAGCTGGGCCTCGGCCAGGATGTAGGGGGGCAGAGGGTCCAGAGAAGGCTGCGATAGAAGCCGTGTAGGTGAGGAGCTGTGCCCCAGCCCACCTGACACCTGGGAGCAAGGGCTCTAGTGGTGCAGGGCAGCCCTACTCACCAGGTCCTTCATGTTCACCCGGCAGCCATAGCACAGCTGTCCCATGACCTGGGCCTGGACACCCTTCCTGTGGACATAGCTGAGCTGTGTGCCTGGTCCTGGTGCTGCCCTAGGCCATGGTCCCCCAGACCCCAGCTGGCCACAGATGGAGCAAGGACTCACTTGCAGGCTACCCTGCAGCAGGCCTGGCCCTCCCCTGCAACGCAGCCAGGCCCTGTGGTTGTCCCGGCCTCAGCTGGCGGGGTGGACAGCAGTGTCTGGGAGAGACGCGAGGTCTGGGCTCCAAAAGCTGTGGCGCTGTCTGTAAGCAGAGGGACCCTGGAGCTCCCGAACCCACACCCACTCCCTCCCCAACCCAGCACCCCAGGTGCAGACCATCAGTGTCGACGTCCAGCGCGCACAAGCACAGGAGACAGCGGGGCCCTGCGGGGCCGGCAGCACAGCCCTCCCGGGGGGCCTTCACCAGCTTCTCACTTGTCCTGCGAGAGGGCAGCGAGTAGTCCCACGGGGGCCCTGGCCAGGGGCTCTGCGCCCTCCCAGGCAGAGTGCCCCTTCACACCTACCTGTACACAGTGCTGATGGTGGAGGGGAACTGGGTCTGCAGCCTCAGGATGAAGGCCTCCATCAGCCGGTGGATGCTGGCCTTTTCGGGGGCCTAGGAAAATTGGATAGGGCTAAGGGAGGGCCCTAGTACAGATCAAGGTCCCCTGGAGTGGCTCCACACAGCCAGCCCTTGGGTCTACCCTTTCTGGGGAAAGCAGCACAGAACCCACTTCCAAAGGGCCACCCCATCATTCCCCTCAGAGACAGGACAGGGTACCAGTTACCCCTCCAAGGAGCAGGTGTGCCCAGAGGACCCTACTATTGGCACTACCAGAGGCAGGTGGCAAGTACTGAGGCCCCAAGGGGCCACTAGGACCTCAGTGTCAGCCCAGAGGAGGCCACTCCCACCCCTGCAGCTAACCTGGTGGGCCCACCTTAGTGTCAATGGCTGGTGTGAAGACAGAGGGGACAGCAAACAGGCGGTTGTAGAAGGCAACCTCCTTCAGCGTGTGGTCCCGCATGGGGCGCACCACCACCACATCCCCATGCCGCTCGTCCGAGAAGCCCTAAGGGTGGGTGCAGTCAGGCTGACCCCGCCTGCAGGTAGGTCCCAGGACCCTCTTCCATGTGGGAGTCCCCAGGATCAACAAATGATCCTGCGCAGGAAGCCAAGGGATAAGTGTGGGGAGGGGCACCCCGTGTCCAGATCCTACATACCGTGTCCCAAGCCAGGAAGGCCCCTCTCCCCAGGGCCAGATTGGTCATGAGCTTAATGGCCAAGCGAGTGCAGCTATCCCCGGTCATCACCTTGGAGTAGCCATGGACTCGGGCCACGTGCAGGATGAGGTGGGTCCTATGGCAGAGGCAGAAGGTTGCAGACAATGGAGGAGGGGTCTCAAAGGGCAGGGCCCCTGGGGGTGGCTCACCGCAGGGTCTGAAGAAGCTCCTCCTTGGCTGTGAGTGTCCTCACAGAGCCGAACAGTCTGCAGAGGGCCGCAGTCTGGGTGGCTGTGGGGGACCTGCCCAGGCTGCAGGGCCCCGGGGAGTCCTGGGTGTGGGGCTGGTGTGTCTGTTCCCCACCCAGCACATGCTGCTGCTGGAGGAAGCTGTCCACAGCAGACTTGTAGGCCTCCTCCGTCCCCACTGGCTCCTGGGCAGAGCCCTGCAGCACTGCTGGTGGCAGGCCAAATACCTTCCAGAACACAGGAGAGCGTGGTGAGGCGCCTGCCCTCCAACACCAGTGGGGAGCTAAGTTCCAGGGCTGCCCCAGCAAGCAGGCACGTGGCCCTGTGGCACCCCAACAGTCGCCTCCCGGGCCTTTCACCTCTTCCAAAGCAACTGTGTGCCACGGAAAGCCGATGTTCTGTAGGACTGACTTCACCTCAGCCAGAGTCTTTGCTCTGTCCTCTGGGCTCTGACCACAGGCTGCTCCCTCTGCAGATCCCAGGCAAGAGGGGTTAGGGCTTGCAGAGGAAAAGCCTGAGCACAGCAGGCTAAGGGGCTGACTCCATGAAGAACTTCCTGCAAGGCTGCACTTTGAAGGGCAGTAACTTCTGGGGTGATGGCAGGTGTCCACCACTTTCCTCTGGGGCCATCTTCAGAGCAGGCAGTGGATTCCCATATAGTGGCTAGAGATGTCCCAGCCCTCCACACCCACCCCTTGGCACCAGTACCAAACTCGCCCTTTTTAGCCACTGGACCCATGATAGGCCAGGCAGGTGCTCCTGTCCACACACCCCACCAACTTTCCAACAGGACTGAGACCCCAGGACAAGGGTGCTGTCCAATGCATAGTCTCCTTCAGGAAAAGGTCCCAGTTGGGGCCTAATCCCACGTACCGTCAACATAGACAACCCCTGGCACAAAACGTAGTCTTTTGGCAGAATCCTGACTCAGGCCCTGGAGAAAGAAGTCAGGATTGGGAACTCAGACCCTGGCCAGAACCCATGGGGTATTTTCCAGCAAAGAATATTTCTCTGGCTTCAAAGCCAACCCAAAAGGAGGCAAGAGCCCCCCCTTTTAGTAAACAAAGGCACCCAGACTTGGCCAGACAGACCCTGTGGGTGAGGCTCTGCCCTTGCTGAGGAGTGGGCCACAGGTCTTTCTTCCCCAGTGAAAAATACATCTGTCTGTAGAAGCCTCAGAACCTGCTTTCACCAGTCTCCTTGATGTCCCAGGAACCTCTGAGACAAGCAGCTAGGTCCACAGGGGCCACTGTGCCACCTGCCTGGGCACCTTGGACCACTCAGAAAACACTCTTGCAGTAAGAACAGAGGCAACAAGGCACTGGAGGTGGGGGCATTGTGGGCATGGAAGGAGCAGTGCCAGATGCTACAAAACAGCCCCAGGAGGGGCTTATCTCATCACCCTGCAGGCAGGTGCCTATCTGGGCCAGTGCCCTTACCCAGGCTGACACCCCCACCCCATCCCAGTGGCTACTGCCTCCTCACCAGCCCCATGAAGCTTTGCCCCCCAGGAAGCGTGGAGGAAGTGTGCATGCCCTCCCCTCTGCGGAGGCCCCGAGCCCTAGGGGAGCCCTCAGGTACTCCTGTAGTTCAGGTTGGCAACTCAATCCCACCCACTCCCTCTGTCCCTCCTGTGTGTGCTGCCTCTCTGCCTACACACGTCCTCTGGTTTGTGTACCTGCTGTACACACATCCCAGCTGGGGGCTGTGATGCTTCCTAGTGCCAACCAACTGCCCTTCAGTGCTGGCTGAGAAGGAAGGCTCCCCATCCCAGCTGGGCCCAGTAGCCTGGCCTAGAGGGTAGTATAGACACACCTCAAGTACCTGCCAGACCATGGAGCTGGACGAAGGACCCCCAGACCATGCCAAGAGCACCTGGGGAGAAGAAGTATTAGTCAGGACGCATGCTTTCAACACTATGTGCCCCCACACCCGTGGGTAGCCCCAGATACCAAGTCCACCCTCAAAGCCCAGATAGGCTACAGTGGGGAGAGGCTGCCTGCAGAAGAGGCACCAGGTGTTGTGAGCAGGGCCCCAGATCTACCTTTTCACCAGGAAAGATGAGCCGATTTTTCCCCAGCATGGCTCTGAACTTGTGCACGTAGAGGGCCTTGAAGCAGTCCCTGCAAGACAGACGCTCAGCACGGGCAGCAACCTGGGGCCCCACTGGGTTACTCAGCCTTTTACGGGCAGCATCTGCACAAAGAGGCTCTACCAGCAGCTGGCAAAGGGCTTCCCCAGGGGGCACTAAGGTTCTTGGAGTCCCATCCAGACCCCAGCAGGTGTGAGCGACACAGGGCATGGGGCTGCATCTAACACCCCATGAGTGCTCAGGAAGGCTTTTGGCAGAAGAGATGGGGCAGGGCCTGAGTCCTGTTCTCAACTCTCCCAATAAGCTCCCTCAGAGACCTTCCAGCCGCGGGGCAGTGGTGCCTCCACTTCAACAACAGGCCCGCCAGAAGCAACTCAGAAGAAACATGCTGACAACCTGGTTTCGAGCCCTTCAGGCAGCAGCGCAATCCCTGGAGTAATGTCAGGGGGAGAGGGGAGCACTGTATAAACTGCAGAGAGTGCCTAACATTCGGGGTCTCCAGGCCCACCTACCAGAGACTCCTTCATGCCAGCATGAAGCATGAATGGCCCTGAAGCACAAGCAAATAGAAGCCTGGGGTCTCCAGAATCCAGAGCAGAACTTCCAGCAGGACACAAGAGGTTGTGCCCTCAAAAGCATTCCAGCTGGCTCCTGGACCCCTCCCTGACTTGAGTCAGATTCCCAGGCCCAAGCCCAGCAGTTTCCATTTTAAAAGTTTTTCTGGGGTTGTAGCTCAGTTTGCCTAGCATGCACAAGGCTCTGAGTCTGACCCTCAGCACCACAAAGAAACATGCAGCCAGGGTAGAGCAATGCTGGATACAAGGGGAGCAAGGCTTCTGTGAGAGGCTGCCTGTGCCCCAGGTCTACTTCCTTCCTGTCAGACACACCCTGTGTCCATGGCAATGCCTCCCAACACCGAATGAGCACTGGGTACAGGGGCCAATATTTCTACCCCACAGCAGCTCAGTGTTTCAAGGTAAAATGATGAGCCCAAGGTCCAGTCCAGTGCCTGGACACAGAAAGTGACTTCCCAGGGTGCAGCTCAGTGAGGACAGTCTGATCATGAGGAGGCAAGGGTGTTGGCTGTGGGTGAGGAGAACCCTGCCACTCATTCCCTGCTTTGCCAGCTGGGGTTCCAGTGTGGTGGGTTCCTGTGAACAAGGGCTTTGCACTCACAAAACCACTCTCCCAGGGGCCAGGAAAGGCCAGAGTTTCTACACATGCCTGGTCTGGGTCACCAGAGCGCCTCACTCAAAACCTAGATTCTCAAAACTTGCACCAGGAGAGCTGGCCTCCCACCCCTTCTCAAGACCACACATATAGGATGGTTAGGAATGAGGAAGTGTTTGGAAAATAATCTCCTTACTCTCTTCCTCTCCCAGGAACATTTTTAAAAGCAGGCTCCCAGTAGCCAGGCGTGGTGGCACACCCCTGTAATCCTAGTGATTCAGGAAGCTGAGGCAGGAAGATTTCGAGTTCAAAACCAGGCCCAGCAATTTGAGGAGGCCCTAAGCAATTTAGCAAGACCCTGTCTCAAAATAAATAAATAAATAGATAGATAAGGCTGGGGGGTTTGTCTCAGTGGTTAGAAGTCCCTGAATTCAATACTGGCTTTAAAAAAAAAAAAAAAAAAAAGCCCCATAAGAAAAAATAGCAATAAAAATAAATTATAAAAGAAGAAAATTACATCTACTATGTTGCATATATATTTCTATTTTTAAGTAGTATATCTAGTATAATCATTCATATTAATTGTCACATTTTTTAAAAAACAAAGCCCAAGATTTCTGGGGACCAACTTAAGGACATGAGGTAACTCCCCCAATAAACATGCTACACAAAATAAGGCACACCGCCCTAAGAATGAGAGGGCTAACACAGGAGAGATCTAACCCTAACCCTGGGGAGCTACAACCTAGGGAAAACGGGAACACCAAGTGGTCACTGGCCAAAAGAAACGAGGGCGGCCAGAGTCACAGACACGACGGGAGGTACCCGAGCCCCGGCCCCTCGGGAGAAGCCCAGGCTTCGGTCCAGCGGCCCGGGGAGGCCGGAGCTCTCCCTCCAACTCTGACAGCCGTCCCACCCGGAGCACCTGCCCCTGGTGGCCGCCGCCCGCTCTCCACGCTCCCCACAGGCTCCCTCCGGGACCGCCCAGCCCCCTGGCAGTGGCGCCCCACTTCCCCGACAGGCCCCAGGGCCACTCGGAGCAGCGACGGCGGAGAGCGCGGTCCGGGGCGGCAGGGGGCCGACGGCGGGCTCGCGCGGCTCACCGGCAGAAGGCGTCGCCCGCTCGGATCACCACCACCGGCAGGCCTTCCCGGCACTTCACGCACTTCTGCGCCCGGCTTGGGAGAACCAGAGAGAGCAGGTCGCACGGTCGCACGGTCGCCCGCTCCCGCCCCGCGTTCCCTCCCGGCTGCCCCCGAGGCCGGCCCGGGCCGGGGGCCTCCCGCTCCGCCCGCGGCTCTCACCCCGGCCTGGGCGCCGGCGGGGGCTCCCGGGGCGCCGGCTCCGCGTAGTGCTCGCCCGCCTGGCACATGGCTGCGCCCGCCGCCTCCCGAGCGCAGGCGGCCAGGCGGGCGCGCCCCGATGACGTCTCCGGGGACCGTGGCGGGCGCTCCCCGTGACGTCACGCGGCGCCGGCGCGGCGGTGACGCGGGCCCGGCCGGCCAGGACGGGGGGTGGGGGGCGGCGGCGGCGGCGGCCTGGCCCGGGATGGCGATGTTCCGCAGCCTGGTGGCCTCGGCGCAGCAGCGGCAGCCGCCGGCCGGGCCCGCGGGCGGCGACAGCGGCCTGGAGGCGCAGTTCAGCTGCCCCATCTGCCTGGAGGTGTACCACCGGCCCGTGGCCATCGGCGGCTGCGGCCACACGTGAGCGCGCGCCGGGAGCCGCGGGAGGGGGACGGCCGGGCGCGGCGGCGGCCTGCGGGCGTCAGGGCCGCGCCACCGCCGCCCGAGCCCCGGGTGCTCAGAGGCCGCCGCCGCCGCCGCCGCCGCGCGGGGCCCCGAGGTGTGCAGACGGGCGGGCAACGCAAATAAATGACTTGTGGCGTGTGCTGTCAACTGTTTGTCCACCCGCTGTCCGCTCGCTCTGACGACAGAGGAAAGGAGTGCCCTTCAGTTGGGGGGGGCTCGTTTGGAGCCTGGTGCGGTTTTGTTTTGAAGGACTGGGGTCACGCCACAATGCAGGCCGGCACGGAGGGGACCGGACCCCAGGCATCCTGCAGGGGTTTCCAGCTGAGCCGGGCGTTTCAGGAACTGAACCTGGAGCATGTAGCTCCCCTCTGGCCCAGAGCTGTGCTCAAGTCCAAGACCTCTGGAGCTCCAGCCCGGTTGGGAAGGAGTCAACATGAGTGTGCGCTCCCACCTCCCCTAAGTGCTGCATGATACCGCTCTGGAGCGATTGCGGGGAGAGGGCTGGAGGGCTTCCCAGCAGTGGCCATGCTGCTGAGGAAGCTGGGTGCTGGTTCCAGGGAGTGGGGGTGGGCAAGGTGCACCCAGCATGGTAGGAAGCCCTAGAACATTTTGCAAACAAAGGCAGCTGTGTGGAGGCTCCTGCTGCAGAGAAGGAACTGGAACTGCTGGGTGGGCGTGTGTGCCTGCTTGTCATCCAAGCATGAGGATGGTGTCAGGATCCAGAGCTGCCTCACGTTCCTGCCCCCTGGTGTCAGGCAGCACAGACACTGGCTTATACCAGAGAGTGGTGCCCTGCTCCTACTCAGTTGCTTGGCTGTGACATTCTGGCAGGACAGGCTCCGATAGAGACTTGTTTCTTGTGAGCACACGCCAGTAGGTGTGTTGTCTTCTGCATTTTCCAGACTGTGGTTGAGAGGACTGTGAGGCTTGTCTGCATTTTGGAAACCCTTTATAGGATTGGGGCAGTGTCTCCCCGGAACCAGCACCTTCACCGTGATGTGGGCCACAGCCTTTTGGTTTCTCAATCTGTACAAATCAGTATTTTCCCTTTCTCTTTTCCAAAATTGGTCTTTTCTTAAAATGAGAGCTGCATGACAGGATGGAGACTCCATGGGACTGAGAAGCATCTTTCTTGTCAGCTCTTCTCATTGCTGATCCTTAAGAACCCTTTGTGTGGCCTCTGCCTTGAAAAGATTTCCTCCCACTTTGCTGGCTTCATTTCTTGGCTGTTGCCTGCCTCTGACTTCCTTTGTCTGTCAGGTGCAACTGAGAGAGGTGTGCAGATGAACACAGAAGGTTTAAGGGCACATCCTGTCACCTTGTTAAAAGTTCACTGGTGGTCTGATTCTTTCCTTGCCTTGAGCTCCAGAGCCATTTCCCTTCTGAAGACTGGCTTCCCTGTGGTGAGAGGGGCCCTGCCTGGAGGCAGAGGAGGTGATGGTAGGGGAGTCTTCAAGCCTGAGCTTTGGGCAAGAGGAACCTCAATGGAGCAGCTCGCAGACATTGCCTTAGGGCCCCAAAGGAGCTATTGCCTGCTGCCTAAGGAACAGCCTAGGGTGTGAGCCATATCCAGTCCAGAAGCAAGTGGGCCAGGACACACACAACCATGAGGCTGCCCAGGAAGCCTTTGTAAGGCAGCCTGCGGTGGGACAGCGTCAGGCTTGCCTGAGAAGACAGGCCTGATAGCCTTGTGGCTCTCTGAAACTGGCCCTTCCTAGCTCCCTGGTGTGTACAGGAGCCCAGGGCAAAGTGACATTGGTTGGTGCCATTTGACCTGCAGCCCATCCTGGGCAGTCCCAAATGCTAGGCAAGTTGGCCCCACTCCCACCGTTCTCAGCCACCTTACTGGGCTGCAGAGGACCCTAAGCAGACGCAGGGGGACTTTCTGTGGGGGAAGCTGCTGCTTGCGGCTGCTGGCCCACGTGTGCCAGGGTGGTAGTCACTCACACCTGGTCAAGAGCTGTGCCTTATCTGTGAGTGTTCTAGTCTGCTTTCTGCTCCTAAAGGGCTGTGACTCAGGAGTCACCCCACAGGGGATCAGGTTCCTCCTGAGCTTTCTTGCATCCTGCACAGGAGTACAGGGCATGCTGCCTTCTGGAAGAAGTGGCTGCGATTCAGCCTGACCTTTTCGTGTGGCCCTGCCTGCTATGGGTAGTAAGGATTCCACTGAGATGGAAGCCAGTGCGTTCACACAGTCACACAAACTCCCCATGGTGTAGAACACTCCGCCCTGGAAAGGAGCCCAGTGCACACTGTCCTCCCCAGCCCTGGCCGCTGCAGGTCTGCCTCCATCGTTGGGTGTGTCTGCTGGAACTTCGTATGGCAGCCCCGTCCACAGCACATGGCCTTGGTGTCGCCCTTGGCTAGAGCTCAGGGGCCACAGGGGACCTCTGCCTTGAGCAGGCGAGGCCCGAGCAGGCCCATGTATATCGGTGCTTTGCTCCTCTCACGTTTCCTCCACGAGTGTCACATCTACACGCTGTTGGACAGCTGGATGCTGCCACTGTCTGCCACCATGAACACCTGTGACTGGCCTTGCCAGCCCCTTCCTCAGGCTCACCAAACCCTGGGGCCAGGGACAGCACTGGGGGTGGTACGTGGTGCTGGCGAGACCCCCACCCCACTCGGAGGAAGTGACTGAGGCCCTCTACTCTGCAGGAAAGGCTCATAGGAACTTTTGTGTCCTGGAAGTCCTTAGGTCTTAGGGTGAGTCTTGCCCCTTTCAGGTGCAGGATAATCTGACTAGCCAGGTGGCAGAAGGCAGGAAGAGGGACGAAGGTGTCTCAAGCTCTGGGCACCACAAGAAGGACCTTCTCTTGAGAGGGGATGAGATCATGTGAGGAACTCTGACCTTAACCTTAACTGAGTCATCTCTAAATTCAGGACCCTTCCCACATCCCCTCTGTCCAGCCTGGCTTCCCCGTCCTTACCCCATGGCCAGCCTGCTCAGCGTGCAGGGAACTTCCTGCAGTCTGCAAAGTCTCCATCTTTCTGTTGGGGCTGGGCCAGCTCTGCCTCCTCCAACTGAGCTCCGTCCTCAGGGCTGGAGTCGCACTCTGTGTCCTTGTGTTCAGGTGCTTTGTTGAGCGGGCTGTCCCCACAGTGCTGCTGGTGAAGCTGTGCTGAGGTCATCCTGTGCAGCTGGCGCCCCCTCCTGGCAGGCGGCAGGTGGCAGTGTTGTGAACGCAGGCTGGAGTGTGGGCAGGCCAGGCCAGGCCCCTGCTGCCAGCAAGCAGGGCTCTGGACAGTCTCTCCAGGTGATGTTGGCTAGAGCTCAGGGGCCACAGGGACCTCTGCCTTGAGTGTGTGTCCAGTACCTGAGCCAGCCCAAGTACCGCCCTTCCTGTCACTGAGCCCCTCCTGCCGAGGAAGCTGTCCCCAGGTGACAAACTGGCCAGCTTCAGCTCTGTGCTGTCCAGTGAGTCCAGGGCCCTTCCCACAATTGTTAGTGATTTTACTCTCTGTGCCCCTAGGCTGTCCCCTGCCCTCTGAGGTTCTGTTGTCACCATGACTAGGAGCCCATGGGACAGAACCTCCCCCTCCTGTAGGGCCACGTGTGCTGGAGGCTGAAGCCGTGACTCTGCCCAGCCTTAGAACACAGCAGCCCCATTGCTGGGAGGGGACCCTGCTCATCTTTTAGCCAGATGGTGCCCATCCTTCTGGTGGGCCTTGGGCACGGGCATAGTCATCTCCAGGAATGTTTGAACAGCTAGTCCTGTGTGCTAGTGCATGAGGCCCTTGCTGGCCACCAGCCCTCAGGCCCATGTCCCCTGCAGGTTCTGTGGGGAGTGTCTCCAGCCGTGCCTGCAGGTGCCATCCCCCCTGTGCCCGCTCTGCCGCCTGCCCTTTGACCCAAAGAAAGTGGACAAGGCTGCCCATGTGGAGAAGCAGCTGTCCTCCTACAAGGCACCCTGCCGGGGCTGCCACAAAAAGGTACACGCTTGACCTCTGGGGGCAGAGCGCTTGACCTCCTGGGGCAGGGCGGGAGGGGAGGCTTCAGGCTGCAGAGCCTTGTCCAATTGCCAGGGGAGACTGAGGTGCTAGGGCAAGGCGACTGGGATTGGCCGGCTGGAAGGGGTGTCCTGCTGGGGCGCTCCCTCCAGCAGAGGTGACCTGTTGGGGTGTCTCCAGTTGGTTCCCTCAGCAGGTATGCCCCTTCCCCTTGCTGGAATGCAGCTGCTAGGGCCTCCAGGTCTCTAGGAGCAGAAGGCGTGGCCACGGCTGCAGACTGAGCCAGCCTCACCTCCCTGCCTGTCTCCTAGGTCACCCTGGCGAAGATGAGAGTGCACGTTTCCTCCTGCCTGAAGGTCCAGGAGCAGATGGCCAACTGCCCCAAGTTCGTCCCTGTGGTACCCACGTCCCAGCCCATCCCCAGGTGGGAAGCCTCCCCTCCTTTCCATCTCTGAGCAGGTTGGGGGTGCTCAGGGGGCAAGTGACTCTGGGGAAGCCATGCCACTCATAGATGGGGACAGCTCAGGTGTGGGAGCCAAGATGGGGACCCACAGCAGGCGGGGGGATGGACTAAGAGATGGCACCTCCCAGGGTGGGCAGCACAGGGTCTCCCCATTGGCCACAGCCCCCTACCCCCACTGGGCCGGGGTGGGGGAGAGGGAGGTGGTTCCCTGTGCGGTTCTCAGCAGTCAGACCCGAGACTGCAGATGTGTGGGCAGGTGTGGGCTGGTGGTCTTCAGGGCTCCAGCTCTGCCTCCTGCCTGCCAACCACGATGCTCCGGCAGCCATGCAGCAGTTGACTCCTGTCGGGAGCCCACAGAGCAGAGGGCAGGCTGGCCACTCTGTGTGTGAGAGAAGCAGGGTGGCAGTGCCCTTTGCTCCCTGACCCCACAGTTGCTCACTGTCCTCCTGCTCCACCAGCAACATCCCAAACAGGTCTACCTTCGCCTGCCCCTACTGCGGCGCCCGCAACCTGGACCAGCAGGAGTTGGTGAAGCACTGTGTCGAGAGCCACCGCAGTGACCCCCACCGCGTGGTGAGCGCCCGCTGGGAGGCCGTGGGCGGGGACTGCCTGGGTGGCCTGCTCCCTCCAAGCCTGTGGTGCCCAGCTGCCCAGGGCCTCCCAGGATCCCAGGGATGGTGGCATGTCAGTCTTGGGGTGCAGTGAGTGCCACAGTGAACCCTCATGAGCCCCCATGTGTCCCTGGGCAGTGGAGGTCGAGTTCCCTGTGGGAAGCCCTGGCCACACACTGGCCCCTTTGTTCCAGGTGTGCCCCATCTGCTCCGCCATGCCCTGGGGCGACCCCAGCTACAAGAGCGCCAACTTCCTCCAGCACCTGCTGCACCGGCACAAGTTTTCCTATGACACCTTCGTGGTGGGTGCCCTGCCCACACCCCTCCCTCCTCCTGCTCGACCCAGCCAGCTTTAGGGCCCAAGTGTCCCAAGAAGGCCAGAACAAAACCTGAGGGGCCCCATTGGAGCAGGACAGGCACAGGGGCCACTAGAGGACACCAGGCACCAGAGCAGCCACAGGTGCTCTAGTGTCCCTGAGGCGGCACCTGGGGGACAGAGCACCCTAGGTGGGCCAGGCTTCCCAGGCGTTTCTGGAGGGGAGCTAGAGGACTCCTCCCCAGTGCTCTGCTCTGTCTTCCTCTGCAGTGGGTCTGGAAGGGAGCCCCCCAGGCCTGTGGACCCCTCACAGCCTCTTCTCTCCTCGGGCAGCCCCTCCTCTCTGTTTACTCCACCTCCCACCCTGCCGGCCTCCAGCCACCCAAGACTCCTGCCTACTCCGGCCCACTGCTGGAGGTCTCGGAGCCTTCTGGCTTGCCTGTCATCTCAGAACCCCAGCTCTTACAATCGGAGGCAAGAAGAGCACTCCCATGCATGCATCCACCCTGGAGCACGGTCAGGGCATGCAGTGTCTGCAGACTGCCGGACTCTGCAGAGGCCAGGCCGCCCTCAGGATCAGCTTAAGTGCAGAACTAGGGAAGGCAGACAGGTGTCCTGTGGTGTGAGCCGTGTTCAGGGAGACCCGAAGCAATGGAGCGAGTCTGTGGGGCAGCTGGGACAAGGAGGTAGCCCAGCTCTGCAGGGGTCAGCTGGGCTCTTGTGACCTTGCCCATCTCCATTTGCTGTTTCCAGGACTACAGCATCGATGAAGAAGCTGCCTTCCAGGCCGCCCTGGCTCTGTCCCTCTCTGAGAACTGAAGGTGCAGCCAGCCACCTGCCCCTAGCCTGGGGTCCAGGACGCCCTCCCGCCTCAAGGAACAGGGCTGTTGCTCTCCTGCCCCAACACCTGCCCAGGAGCACACCTCACCGGGCCAAGTGGGATCTCCTGCATGAGGAGGGCTCATCCAAGAGCCTCTAGGGCTGGACCTGGCTGGCTACCCCTTGCCATCAGCAGGGCTGCCTGGGTCCTGGCCAGCCACGCTGGGCATTCGGTGCTTTGAGGGGCGGGTGCTGCCATCTGGGACTTAGAGCAGTCGCTCTCTTCCAAGCCACGATGTCCTCCTTGCTGGGAAGCATGGGGTGCCCGGAGGTGTGCGGCTGCAGGAACAGGGAGGAGGAGCCCCGCCGCCCGTCGGGCATCCAGCTCGCTTCCACATGCGCACCTGGTACTGGCTTTTGTGATACTTAGAAACCCCAGCGTTTTTCTATCTTATCCCATGTGATAATCTTTTCACGTTTTATAGAGCAAAGACGAAGCAGTTACCTTCATATTGCAATATCTGTGTTTGACTAGGAAGAATAGTATTTTTATGGAACATTTACAAAATTATATTTTTAAAAAAAAAAGATTAAAAAAAACGTGTAAGGGATCGGTGTGTGGAGTGCAGGAGCAGTGGGTGCTCTGGAACCAGAGGCAGCTGGTGTCCTCTGCGAGGGAACAGAGGTGGCATCCCCAGGCTGCTGCTAGCGGGGGCTCTGCTTGTGGTTTCTTTGGCGATAACCAGGAGAAGGCACCGCTCCCTCCCTGACTGCCTGCGAGGCTATGCCTACAGACGCAGGGTGGCCCGTGCAGCGTGGGGCTTCCTCTGCCAGGTCCTGGCCTCGGCCCAGAGTCACCTTCCAGAGCAGGCCACATCCTTCCCAGGCAGAGACTGCATCCGACAGTGGCAGAGCGTGGGGGGCCACCAGTGGCCTGCTGGGTGGTGGGTCACGCCAGAAAACACCTGTTGGCTCTCCTGTTGTGTCCATGGCATAAATTATTGCTGTCTTTTCAAAAAAAAATTAAATGTTTCTGAGCATCTGCAGAGGCCTGTGTTGGTTCTGTCCTCGGTGCCCAGTGAGGACGCTGGGAGCACCCGCCCTCCTCTGTCTGAGTCAGCAGCTGCTGCTTATGGCTGTGCCGCCCCAGGTGCCCTTTCCCTGCTTTCCCAGCCTCTTGTAGGGGCCCAGAACCACTGAGAAGACCCTGGCCAGGCCGCCTCCCTCTGAAATGTCCCCCCAGGCTCCTGTTTCTGGCTGGCCTGGGGCTGGGTTCCTGGGTCACAGGCCTTGGGCCAGCTGCTCAGAACCCTCTGAGGGGCCACCTTCACGGCCACAGGGTGCCTATGCCCTCAGGTCAACCAGAATCACCTCCCTGTGGCCATGCTCACAGGTGCCTCACTGCTCCCTCGGTTCCCAGGTGGTGACCAGAGGCAGATCTCTGTTCTGGACAGTCGTTCTCGGGGGAGGGTGTTCTGCGGAGCTTTAGAGCATGACGTGGACCAGACAGGCCCAAGACCCACGGGTTGTAACTCGAGGCACCTGGTTGCTGGGTCAGCGTGCACACCTTTAAGAGCAGAGTGGCCTCCAGGTGCTTTTGTGGAAGACACCAGAGTTCCACCTCCTCTGCCATCTGCTAAGCAGTTTCTGTGCCTGGGAGGCCCTCTCTGGGTTCTGGGCATCAGCAGGACTTCAGCCTGCCTGTGCTCCCCAGTGCCTTCCAGGAAGAGGCCAGAGACACAGCACCCTGGAACCAAGTGAGGCCGAAAGCCCTCAGAGCAGGGCTGGTTGTGCTCACCCCCTGGTTGCTGGCCCAGCCTGCCACCCTTGGGCAGCCACCTGCTGTCCCGTGGGAACTGAGGTTGCTGTTCTTGCAGGCCCAGGCCTGCATGCCACTGACAGAGGAGTCGTCATGGGGCATGACCCCTAGTGCCCAGGCAGCCCAGAGGTAAGCCCTGTCTCAGCAGGGCCTGACCTCAACAACATCTCTCTGCTGACCGCCCACCCGCAGGGAGACGCCACCAAGTTTCTCTGTCTCATCTGCAGAGGCCACAGTGTCTGCCAAGTCATTGAGGTCTGCACCGCCAAGGGAAGGAAGGGAGGAGCTCTGCTGGCTTCCTGTGAGTGCCTGTGTGCAGGGTGCCTGGGATGAGACCAAATGGGGCCCAGAGGGGACCTGAGCACCTGGAAGGCAGGAGCCTGGGGAGGGAATAAGGTAAACTGTCCCAGGTGCGGTCAGGATGTCACAGAGGGGCAGGGCTGGAGGGGAGCCCTTTTCATGGGCCAGTGTCCTCCAGGACCAGGTGGCCCATGCTCCCCTGGATGAACAGTAACCCAAGCCTGCCACATGCACAACAGAGACCCCAGTTAAACCAGAGGGAACCAGCACCAAGAGGAGGAGGAGGAGCCAGGGGTCATGCCGCTCCTGGCTCCCAACCTGTCCTTCCTTTCCAAACACTGGAGTCCAACCCGCCCCGCCCTGTCCAACCTCCAGATGGCAGCTTTAAGGCTCTGGGAGCAGGTGGGAAAGCCGAGAGGATCTGCTCTGCCCTTCCCCTGGTCTGGCGTCTGGAGCATTTGGGGCCAGTCACCCCTAGCAAGGCCACAGGATGGCATCCAGTGGAGGTGCTCCCTCCATGGGCATTGCCACATAGCCTCAGTCCCCTGCTCAGTTGTCAGAGCAGGGCTGGGAGACAGCACAGCCTTCGCAGGCCTCAGGCAAATCAGCCAGTGGCTTGTCAGGTGGCCCCTCGGCCCACATCAAGCCACCCTCTCTAGGCGGGGGTCTCCCTCTACCCTGAGCCATGTAAGCATGCATGGCTCAGCAGGAAGCCAGGTGGGCCTCACCCCCAGGAGCCTGGGCTCTGTTCCCTACAGGGTCCAAGGAATCAGGCCCAGGCCAGCAGCAACATGCCCGTAGTTTCAGATTATGCAATGGTGTGGGAGCTTGCACCCCACTTCCTAGAAAGTGCCCCCAGGCCACCAGGTACCTGGAGCCTCTCCACGAGGAAGGGGTCAGGCAGCCAGCCCAAGGCAGATGCTCAGAGAACAGAGGTCCTTGACCTCAGACCCGGCACCTTGCACCAGACTCAGGATTCCTGAGAAACTGTCTGGGAGTCCTACTTCCATGTCACCTGAGCTCTGTGCACTCAGTAGCAGCAGGTGGACACAATAGGTCTACAAGACCCAGCCAGTGTTGCAGATCTGCCAGTGTGCACAGGTCCCCCCGCCGCAGCTCATGCTGCCTGCCCGTGCTAGCAGCCCTGGCCGTGGCCCCTCAGGCACGTCTGGGCAGTGCCTGCGCTCTGTGGAGCAGGAAGACCTCATCTGGGGCTTGTGAGGTCCCAGAGAAACAGAAGTAGCTGCTTCTGTTTCATGAGTGAGGAGGTTTAGAGCACCTGCCGAACCCTGCTGAGAGGGCAGCCCCCAGGACTGTTCTCCCCAGCACCTGGGAGGAGAAGGGAGCTGTCCTCATGCCACAGTTCAGGCTCAGGCCCCCTCCCCTGGACACAAAATACCTGGTAGGCTGAGCTGCCACTGCTGCCCTCCCTCCCATGACCCTCCCTCAGACAACAGACTCTCCCTCTGTCCCCTCACTGAACACATTTTTGGGGAAAGAGGCTTAAATTCACTCACAGCAAGGTGTCAAGGACTAATAAAGTCCAAGGACGTTTCAAAAACAGCCCAAAGCTGGACACAATGGAACATGCCTGTAATCCCAGGGACTTGAGAGGCCAAGGCAGAAGGACCACAAGTCCAACACAAGTCCAGCCTGAACAATTTAGTGAGCCCATATCTCAAAATAAAAAGCAAAATGAGTCGGGCATGGTGGCATGTGCCTGTGACCCCAGTTATTCAGGAGGCTGAGGCAGGAGGAACACGAATTCAAGATCAGCCTCAAAAAATAAATAAAATGGGCTAGGATCGTAGCTCAGTGGCAGAGCACTCCTGGGCTCAACCTGAGTACAGCAAAACAAAAACAAAAATGGCCCAAGGGATGTCTCTAAGTGCAGACTCTGGGAAGCAGTTGGGGTAGTTTGTGCAGGGTAACAGGAAGACCTAGGGTGGCCTCCCGGGCAGAACCTCAGGCAAAGGAAGCGGATAGGACCCTGAGCCCTGGGCTTGGACTTTCTCTCCATCTGTGGAACAGGAAGAGGAGCTGAGGCTGGTGAGGCTCTTTGCAGACCTGTGCCTCCCTGACCCTAGGAGCACCTAGAGATGGGAAGCGGGTGCACACATGTGTGAGGAGTGGGCCACTGGGAATTGGGTGAGGTGCTTCCTACAAGCTCTGGATAGATGTGCTGTGGGTCACCACAGACAAAGTTCTGATGATCCTACTGGGCCTCAGAGTCAGGCACAAGCCCCAGCCTGCAGCTCTGTCCATCCAGGATGCTGTCTCCATGAGCGTCCCAGGCTGCTGGGGCAAGGTGCCAGGGATGGCGGTGGGAACCCCAGAAATCTCGCCTCTGTAAGTTCTGGAGGTCAGGAGTCTAGCACAGAGGTGGACAGGGCCCTTGAGAGGATAGCCCAGGCCTCAAAAGCTCCTGGAAGTTCAAGCCTTTGGCTTGTGAAGCCTGGGCCCTGTGCCTCGCGTGGCCTCCCCTGGGGTCTGTCTGAGTTCATGTTTCCCCTTTTTATGAGATGCCAGTCATTGGATTAGAGCTGGCCCTGACAGGCTGATCCTGATCTGGTCACTTCTGCAAAGACCCTGTCTCTGAATAAGGTCTTGGGCATGGGGACGGGGAGGACTCCAGCATCTTTTGGTAATTCAACTCACGACCATCTGTCTTCAGGCAGACAGGCCAAGATATGGACAAGCTGGGAGCCACCTCTCTCGGGCACATTGGGCAGGAAGCTCTGTTAGAGAGAGCCATGCTGGCTCCCATTCTTGTGAGGGCAGTGTCCTGGCTGCCTTGAAGCCTGCCCTGCCTGGAGGGCCACTGGGGGTGCCGCCTGGCAGAATGTGGCTGAGACCTGCAGATCTGGCCAGTCTCCTGACCAGGAGCCCTGCTGAATGTGGCAGGTGACTCAGTATGCAGGTCGGTGGAGAAGGGATTGCCTGCGCTGGGTCCTGCGGTGTTTGGCCCCCAGGTCTCAGCACCTTGGAGCAAGGCTACAGTGAGCTGTGAACCCCAGAGACAGGCCTCCCTGCGCTGTTGGCAGGACAGGCTGGCCTTGTTGGCCTTTGTCCTCCTTGTGGCTGGTCTAGAGAAGCACAAGACACTGACTGAGTGAGCGAAGGACATCGAGTGCCCTGGAGACCCGCCCCCCCAACCCTCCACGACAAAGGTGGCCTGCAAAACATCTCCATGGCTCCAACACCTGCAGGGAACCAGGCGTTAAGCCCACTGCCTGATTGACAAGCAGCCCAGTGGGCACCCAGCTCCCTGCTGGGACCATGCTGCGAAGAACCTCACCTCATGGAGCCCTCCCTTCATGGCCCTGGACTCACTCCCTCCAGGCCACATCTGATCCTGCTCCTTGGAATTTCACAGGAGCACACAGACATACACTTGCACACGTGTGTGTGAGTATACAAGCACACAGAGCGCCTCCTGCCAGCCCCTCTGCCAGCCCCTCTGCCCTCCCCAGCACCCCTCCTCAGCCCCCAGCCTGGCTGTCTTAAGGGACCATGTCTATCTCCCAGGACCCCCACATCATAGGAACCACTCACCTCTAACAGGCCCCAAGTGGTGTGGGCACCTGTGAGTGGTAGTGAGTTCCCTTCACTGAGGATGACCAAGCACATGCAGGCCATTAGGAGTTCAGGCATCGGGCTCCAATTTCCACAGACCTTGGACAATGGTGGGGCTGCCCCAGGTCAGAGCATGATTGGGTCTAATCACACCCACCTGCCCTTGAGGACTGTGCTGCCCCTCACAGTGCCAGCCTCTGCCCCACCTCTCAGGACATCTAAGCCCCCAGCTGCCTGGCTCAGGCTGGGGCCTTGTACCTCCCCACGTCCCCCCGCCATGGGCACAGAGGGGTCTCATGCCCTCAGAGGACCCTAGGGCACAGGGTAGGTGTTCCAGCAAGGCCAGGCTGTTTGGGGGCCCTGATTCTTTTCCATCCAGCTCAACAAGCATTGGTGGTCCCCACTGTGGACCCGGCCACAGGCAAACTGCACCTAACAAGGGCTGTTTCCACCTGTCCATCACCAGGGCTGCCACTGGCAATATGCGGGCCATGAGGCCTGCTAGCAAGAAGGCGAGAACTCCATGGGCTACAGACACACATGTGTGCACAGATGGTGTGGGCACTGGGCATCCGGCACTGTTACACACTGAGGCAAGGGGACAACTGTCAACAAGAACAGAACGTGGCACGTTCTTCCTGACCTGCAGCCTGACCCACAGCTCCACTCCAAGGCTACACACTCCACTTGAAAACTGCACTGAGTGTCTGATGGAGGGCCTTGGAGGGGGGTGGTCAGCCCACAGCAGGCCGTCATCCTCAGGTCCCAGACTTCCAGGGAAGAGAGCCAGGACCTCGGGCACTGCAGGGCCTTCTCAGGTTGGGGAAGGGGCTTCCCGTGCGGGCATGCAGGTTTAACCCCTTAGGACAGAAAGACTGAGCAGATGAAGACAGCCAGGTTCCTGCCTGGGGCCACACATGTGGGGACAGGGCCAGCACTGAGGTCTTCCTCCACGAGCTCTGCAGGGCCAGCCTGGACACAACCGTGAGTCACAGCTGAGGAATGAGCCTGCATGGCCGTGAGGAGGCACCACTGACGGTCATGGGACCTCAGACTTCCTCTGGGGTGATGTGCTGTGGCTGCCCTGGGGCACCACTGGCCCCACCCCAAGGTGGACTCAGGGCCCGCAGGCTCTCTGGGGAATTCCCAGGCAAGGCTGGCAGCCCCCACAGGCATGCCAGAGGAGCCTTACAATGTGAGCCTCAGGCTGGGGTCAGGAGAGAAACTTGCCAAGCCAGGGCTGGTGGCCACACAGCCAGCGGGTGGGTGGGTGAGGAAGGACCGTGTGGGTGGAGGGCTGGCACAGCCCTCTGCAGGCATCATCTGTGTCCAGGAGGGGAAAAGTAAGAGAGGCTACAAATAGAAACCTTACCAGGCCAAGGAGCAGGTGAATGAGTGGCAGGCGGACGCGTGTCCTCTGAGACCACATCAGCACAGAGTGCCAGGCTCTGCTGCAGGACAAGTGCTCCTTCTCCTCAGGAGTGCCACCTGTGTCGACATGCTCCCTAATCAAGCCACAGGGGCATGGTCTCCAGCTGTCCGTGGCTGGGGTGCTAGTCGGTCCCAGTTCCGCTGCTCCCTGACCCCGAAGAGCTTTGGCTTCCTCACTGGCAAAGCAGGGGTGACACTACCCCAGCTGTTCCTGCCCCACAACCACAGGAACTTAGGTGCTCCGAGACCAGCTCCTTCCCCACTGTCCCCAGCCTTCTACAGGTTCACGCCTCCTTTCCCAGCTACTGCTTCGCCCAGTCTGAAGCAGGAGGATGGCAAGTTCAAGTCCAGCTGGGCAACTTAGAGACCCTGTCTCAAAATAAAAAGTTTAAAAAGGGCTGTGGGTGTCGCTCTGTGAGAGAGCACTTGCCCAACATGCAAGAGGTCCTGGGTTCAATCTCTAGTCCTGGGAGGCACCCAGTTAGGGCATGCCCTGTGGCTCTCAAGGACCTGCCAGGTGCAGTGACCACCCACCCAGAGACTGCCCACTAGGCCTCCAAAGTCCTGAAACATTGGGATGAGAGGGATTTACAGTAGACAGACTGCCCCCTACTCTTCCTTCCACACGACAGAGGAGGGGAGGCGGAGCGCTAGCCCCGCCTCGCCTCGCCTAGCTGCAGGCATTGCAGAACACGGGATTCGCCCCTTCTAACTGCACTGCCCACACTCGGGGGAACCCAGAGTTCCAGGCTGCCTTTACCCCAACTAAAGCAGCTCTCGGGAGGTATGGGGCACACTCCCACAGCGTTGTCCCAGGAGGAAAGGCCACTCTACCCACGCTGCCTGTGCTGGGCTGTCCAGGTACTGACTCTGGTCCCCGCTGTGGCTGCTCAGGTGGGCCAGCAATGGACTTGAGGGCTTGTGCTCGGTTTGCAGAGGACCGAGCTAGGAAAGGTGGTAGCCAGGTGTAACCTGCGTCCGACGGTTTTCCGAGGACCAGCGCTCGCGCAGCGTGGACTGCAGCTCGGCCGGTTTCCACCCACCCTAAACTCTGCACTCTCAGCCGCGCGAGTGGGTGGCCAGCCCCCAGGGTCTGTGCGTGACCGCGGCGCGCGCCAGCCAAGTCCCGTGGGGAGGACACCGGCGGCCACGCGCCCGGCCCCGCCCGCGCACCTGTCCTGGGCGTGGCGCCGTGGTCCCGCCCCGCCGCGCCGGGCGCTGATTGGCCGATGCGGCGCGTTATGCTAATGAGCCTGACCCTTCCCGCACCTGCCGGCCTCGCTGCCCGCGGCCCGGCGCCGCAGACGCTGCAGTGGGACCCCGTTCGCCTCCAGCGCCCAGACCACCACCCCAGCGGGCACCATGCCGCGCTCCTTCCTGGTGAAAACGCACCTCAGCCACAGAGTCCCCAACTACGGACAGCTGGAGACGCAGAGAGGTAGGGGCTGCCTCCCCGCGCCCCTTCCCAGAACTCGCCCCTGCGGGACGGGAGGGAGGCGGGAGGTCTCCGAGAGCGGAGCCACACCTGTCCCAGGTGAGAGGAGAAGGAACTAACTCTTCAGCACAGTTGGGGCCCAGGAGTCCTTCCTGGCCAAGACCGGGGCTGCAGACAAGGAGACGGCCCACGGGCCCTTCTCCACTTCAGACCTGCCTCTGGGCTCTTCTCCCTGCTTGGAGAAGTTTTTCAGGCCACCAGGTCTCCTTGTGGACCGGCATCCATTCCCACCACTACAGTCCCGGCTAAGGGGACCCTGGAGTAATTTTCCCTGTGGAGGAAGTTTGGGAAGGTCAGAAGGCCAGCCAGGCGCTGTGTCCACCCACCCAGGGGAAGCCCAAGTAATCCCCAAAGTCGTGAAACTTGCCCTGGGGTAGGGGGAGAGAGAGGAAGGGCCATCTGGAGCTGCCCAGGGAGGATTCCCCAGAGCATCCTCAGGGGACCAGAAGAAGGACCCCTGTGTTCCCTGGGGTTCAGAGGCCCAGCTCTCATTCTTCAGCTGGGTTTCCAACAGCCTTCTTGCCCCTCTGACGGGGCCTCCCGCCCCAAAACTCCCCTCACCCTTTTGCTTACCGGGTGCAGGCTGGGTCGAGGGACTGCAGTTCTCCAGGCAGGCTCAGGTATCCACTTGTTCCTGTCCGCAGGGCACATGGGCTGGAAATTCGCTCCTCAGAGGAGAGCCTGCCCCAGTGCAGAGTGGCCCCCACCCAGCTGGGCAGCTTCTCCAGAAGGGGACCCCCTGCGGGTTGCATTCTAGAGCTCAGGACCCCCCAGCCACACCGGTCACCCGTGGGAGCCCTGCCCTGTGCCTGGGGCAGGGGAGTGTCCCCTGGATCAATTGCTACCCAGGCTGCCACCAGGGGGTGCCACCTAGCACTATGCTCTTCCAGTTTGCATTTTGAAATCAATTTAAAGAGTCACCAGAACTTTTTAAAAACAAAATAGAAGTATTAGAGTGCAGAGCTCACAGTGAGTGAAACTTTTGTTTCAAATTATGTATGTGGATGTAACTATAGCTACGACAGGAATCTGGTTTCCATGGGTCACAGCCTCGTTTTTTTCTTTTTTGGGTGACAGGAATGGAACCCAGGTCGTTTGTTGGCTACCTGCATGCTAGCAAGTAATAACCACTTAACTCACCCCTAGCCCCAGGTCATAGTTTTCTGGGGGGTGGTGGTGGTACGGGGATTGAACTCAGGGGCACTGGACCACTGAGCCACATCCCAGCCCTATTTTGTATTTTATTTAGAGACCGGGCCTCACTGAGTTGCTTAGGGCCTTGCTTTTGCTGAGGCTGGCTTTGAACTCGTGATCCTCCTGCCTCAGCCTCCTGAGCTGGGATTACAGGTGTGTGCTGCTGAGCCTAGCTAGCTTTTGTTTTGTATTTTTAGAATCATAGATTTTTTTTTTTGATTGATTCTTTTTGGTTATACATGACAACAGGATTCATTTGACATAATTATAAAAGGATGGAACATAATTTGTTCAATTTCAGCCCCTCTTCTTCCCCTGTCCCTCCCTCCCCCGTTTCCTTCCCTCTACTCTCCTGATCTTTGCCTGGTTAGATTTTTCTTTTTCCACGTTTTTATTGGTGCATGACGGTTGTACATTGGATTGGATTTGCTGTTATATATTCATACACGCAAACAACATAACGATAGAATTCCACCAATCTCACTGCTCAGCGCTTCCTCCTCGCTCCCTGAGGTCATAGTTAGAAAAGCTTAAAACCATTGTTGAGGGGCTGGGTTGTGGCTCAGGGCAGAGCGCTTGCCTAGCATGTGTGAGGCACTGGGTTCCATTCTCAGCACCATGTATAAGCAAATAAATAAATAAAGGTCCACCAATAACTGATAAAAATATTTTTAAAAAAACATTGTTTAGGGTCACTGGGGTCATTCCGTGCACCAGCCTTACCATCTGAATGTGCACCTCTGAGCTCCCGCGGGGCCCAGTGGGACTGTCTTCCTCCTCCTCCTGCCAGGATGTCACCTCAGAAGAGACCTGAGATGTGGAGGTTTGGGCCCCCCACTCTCTCCTTTTAAATAAGTGCCTCTTTAGGGCACCCAGGGAACCCCAGAAGCCAGAGGGGCACTCAGACCCCCTCCCCAGGAACCTGGCTGTAGAGTGAGCAGAGAGCAGAGGCTGTGGGAGACTCTGGCTGAAGACAGTCACTGGCCCCAGCCTGGGGGCCCTTCTGGCCTGTGCTCTGAGGTGGCCGCAGGGTCCACAGTTGGGACAGAGAGGGGCTGAACCTGAGTCGGAGCCTCAGGGAAAGTGACTTCCCCTGGAGAGAGGCCCTGATAAACCTGGGTGCAGGGGCGTGGCAGTCCCCTGCTGTGGGACCTCACTGTCACTGCCCTCCCCTCCTCTGGGAGGACAGAAGTCTGATGTGCTCCTTATGATTGGGGAAGCAGGAGAGGGCAGGAGGGCCAGCAGGGGATGGCGTTCTCCACTGGGCCTCCGTGTCCTCTCTTCCCCCTCTTCCTTTTCCTGTGCGAAATGGCATCCCACTGTGCTGCCTGGGCTTCTGGTGACTCCTGTGTTGAGCACCTCTTCGTGGGTTCGTTGGCTACCTGTCTAAGTCTTCTTTGGACGAACAGCTGTTCTTATCTTCTGCCCATTTTAAGTTCTTTCCTGTTGAGTTGCGGACGTTCTGTATGTAGTCATGCTTTGTATATTCAGATCAAATATCTGATTTACAAATACTTTCTCACAGCCTGTGGGTTGTCTTTCTCTACTCAAAGGAGATGGAAATGGGGCCAGAGGTTTATCTCAACACATAGGAAAAAGGAATGGGCAGAAAGCTGTTTGGTGATTCAGACCTCCAGGAGCCCAGACTTCCTCTTACCTGCAGAGGAGCCTCTTTATTCGGGCATCCAGTTGGCATTACAACTGGATGAAACACACGGCGAGCTGGTCCTTAACACAGGAGCCAGGGCCAGAGCACCAGCCGAGCCAGGAGCAGGTCTGCTGCCCGCTAAGACGACAGTGACTGAACCCGGGTGGCCACCGAGCCCGTTCGTGCATGTTCCCAGAGAAGGGAGCATGTGCTGCCTGGAGCCGTGGAGTGTGCAGAGCACAGCACATCCTGATGCACTCACGGAGACGTCATGGGGTGATGGTGGGGTGACTGGAGGCCAATTATCACGGGGTTGGGAGGGGTGATCTCACAGCATCCTGCTACCAAGTGTTCTGACCTGGGGCTGCCGCGTGGGAGCCTGGAGGGTGCTGGCCCAGCTGTTGCCCACCACCTCGGGGCATGATGGGAGCTCCCCAGAGGGGTCTGCAGGCAGGGCGTGCAGGGAGAGCTGGTTGCTGTGAGAGACGGTCCCTTCTCGCTGTTGGGCACAGCAGAGACTTAATCTTAGACCCAGGTTCCTGTGATTCTGGGCCCTGGCTGCAGTCACCACCACCTGTGTGGCCCCTGCATCTCGGTCCTGGGCAGTGTCCCCCCCTCCTGTGGGCTGCTGATGGCCTCAGAGATGGCTGTGGTCACAGGCATGAACGGGACTGTGAGAGCAGATGGCGTTGGGACTCTGTCTTCACCAAACCTTCTCTCCCCTCTGCCCTTCCAGCAGGTGATGACACCTGTTCTGCCTGTCGGGGGCCGGGGGCACTGCTCCACCCCCCCAACAAGGAGGCCGCTCCCGCACCCAGGGCACCCTCCAGCCCCCGGGACAGCACGCCTGCCGTCGCCTGCCTCTCCCTGCCTCTCCTGCCACATCATGAGGAATCACCAGGGGCCTCAGGGTCACACCCACAGGAAATCAGCTGGATGGGCCCTCGGGCTGGCCAGGCCCCCAGCGTCCCTCTCAAAGACAGCCTGAACCACTTGAACCTGCCCCCACTGCTGGTGCTGCCCACCCGGTGGCCCCCGATCCTGCACCCGGATGGGCACAGGGCTCCAGACAAACTGTGCAGGGCTGAGGGGACTCCTCGAACTACAGGGGGCTTCGAGTGCGGTCACTGTCACAAACCCTACCACACACTGGCGGGCCTGGCCAGGCACCAGCAGCTGCACTGCCACCTGCAGGCCGGGCGCGCCTTCACCTGCAAGTACTGCAGCAAGGAGTACGCCAGCCTGGGCGCCCTCAAGATGCACATCCGCACCCACACGCTGCCCTGCGTCTGCCAGCTCTGCGGCAAGGCCTTCTCCAGGCCGTGGCTGCTCCAGGGCCACGTCCGGACCCACACGGGTAGGAAGTCAGGGCTGCGGCCCCAACAAGGGTCTGCCTGGGGGCAGGGTGTGGGCTGGAGGAGGGGGAGACGCCTCCGTGTCCACGTACAGCCTCTGCCGGCCTGGCCCGCCCCCTCCTGCAGCTGCCAGGATGCAGCCCGTACCCTCTCTCAGCCCTGCAGGTCACACACCTGAATTCATGGCGTCGGGGGCCACACTGCCCCGAAGGCTCTAGGGGAGGCTGCTTCCTGCCTCTCTCAGTTCCTGCCTCTGCCTGGGTCTTCATCTGAGCCCCCAGTGTGTCTGTGTCCAAGTCTCCCCCTGCCAGACGACACCAGTATCGGTCCCGTGGATAGGGGACACCGTCAAGCCTCCTCTTAACTATCATATCTGCAAAGACCCTGTTTCCAAGTGAGGCTGCAGGAGTCAGTGGACACATCCCTTTGGGGGACGCTATTGGACACGAGACTGGAGGGCAGGGCTCAGTGGGGCGTCTACCCATGTTTCAGGGCCTCCAGGACCTGCAGCAGGGAGAGGGGTGAGAAGGCCCAGTGGGCATCAGAACCAGATCAGCAGAGTCACACATGGCCAGCACCAGGGCAGAGACTCTGGCTCTGGGGAGTTGGAGCCAACCTGTGGGCTTCCAGCCAGCAGGAGGCAGGTGCTGTCAACACTCCACAGACTGGGGCACTGGGAGGGATTGTCAGCGACCCTGGCCTTGTTCTTGGTAGGGTCATCCTGGGGTCCACGTTTCTACGGAAAGACCTTGTCCAGTCCCTGGTCACCATGACTGGAAGTGGTGCCTCTCAAGGACCATGCTCCTCCGTCCCTCTTTGCCCCCACCCTGGCCTCGGCTGAAAGCCAGTGGTTCCCACCTTCTGCTGGCCAGGGTCCCAGAAGAGATACCAGAGGCTCCCAGTGATGGACAGACCGGGCAGCCAGGGAGCCCTGCCAGGCAGAGCCAGTGAAAGCTAGCCAGCCCTAGGCGGACTGTGTTCCTAGGAAGGGCCTCAGATGCTGCGGCCTGGTCCCTGGGTGACAGTCTATAGCCCCACCTGGCCCGTGGGTGACAGGCTATGGCCCCAGCAGCTTCCATCTGGGGCCTCAGTGTGAGGGTGCTTGGAGGGGAGGAGCGGACTGCTCACAGAGAGCTCCTCTCACCACCGGTGGCATTGTCCTGGTCTGTGGTCACTCATCTGTCCTTGTCCTCCTCCCACAGGTGAGAAGCCCTACTCCTGCCCTCACTGTAGCAGGGCCTTTGCTGACCGCTCCAACCTCCGGGCCCATCTGCAAACACACTCTGGCACCAAGAAATACCAGTGCAAGGGTTGTGCCAAGACCTTCTCCCGCATGTCCCTTCTGGCCCGGCACGAGGAAGCCAGCTGCAGTCCTGGCCCCTGAGAGGTGTGGTGGGTGCAAGGGCCTCATCAGAGAACGGGAGGCTGGCAACCCTCGTGGCAGCCCCGTGACACCAGAGGTGACCAGCCAGGACCAAGAAGCCCAATGCGCCACTAGTCGGCCTCCCACCCACGGAGCCCCTTTCAGAGATGCTGCACTCAGGAGGGCACTTCAGCATGAACAGCACGGTGCCGGTCTGACTTGGCCTGGTCTCTGCTGCCAGAGTGTGACCGTTGTCCCTGGCGCTGCTCGATCCCGGCCACGAGGCTAGGTCCACCCAGCCCCTCTGCAGCTGTTGGGCAGCACGTTGACTTGTGGTGGACTCGGCTGCTTCTCACCTTCCTTGGCTTGGGGGCTGGGGAAACCTGCACCTGTGTCACTTTGCCAGACTCCCTAGGATGCAGGAGCAGGACCAGGAGCAGAGGGCGCTGGGCCCACTGACCCTGCTGCGGGACCTGGGCCCGCTCAGAGTGGGGGCTGGCCTGAGGCGGCACTGCCTTCTGGGGGAGCTGGGAAGGTAATAAAGAGCCCCTACTCCTGCCTCCTGTGCTCTGTGAGGTCTTGCGTCCCCCCACCCTGGCTCTGCAGAGGAAGTGGACTCTGGTCATCTCCGGGCAGCAGGCTTCTGGATCGTTGGGGCCTTTGCACTGAGAGTGTTGTGGGGGCCCCACGGGCCAGCAGCACAGGGCCTTCTCTGGAAAACAAGACTCACCAGGAGACCCCCTCAGAGTAGCGTGGAAGGCGAAGGAGGGGCTCCAGGGAGCAGGGCTGGGATGGGACCAGGGCAGGGAATGGTGGGGGTCTGGCTGGACGGCCTCCGGAGCAGAGGAGAGTCCAGGCTCTGGCTCCTCTCCATGGTCTAACTGGCTCCAGCTCAACCCTGGAGGTGACATCCAGAATGACAGGAGGGAGGCACCCACGGGGGGGGGGGGGGGGGG